TTTCTAATAACGTGGCTTACTTGGGAAGCCCCAAACAGGGTTCAAAGCCTCGCCAACTCCTTTCCTTGCCTCCTTTCCCTGGCTACCCTTTACCTGGGAAGAACACTTCCACTGGTCATGTCACTGCTATCAGTTGGCTCAAATATTACTTTGATGAAATTCCAGACTCAGCCATTCAGTCCCATTTTAACAAGGGCCTTGTAAGTATAGCAAACTACTTTTTATTTTTTCACATATAGAGAAGAGACCCATTGCTTTGCTTGAGTCATTAAGCTGGCTTTTTGCTTCAGTTCTTTGGGCTTTCTTTAAAGAATTGCGATTGTCCATCCCAAATGTTGTGACTGATACTTATTTTCAACATATGTTAATCTGTTTCTCTTGTTGCAGGTTCAGATGGAATCCTCAAATCCAAATGCTGATGATTCTTTCATAAAAAGGGATGGGCAAATGAAACCCTTGAGAAAGGTACTGATGCTTCTTGATATAGCTTGTTGCCTGTAATCTCAGAATGTTATTTTAAAAAACTGTTTTTCCTGAGCCTTTGTCAATACTATGCTCTTCTGTCTGGGTTTAATTACTCTGCACTTATACAGCTTACCTACAGGTCAAGCATAATGAGGTGATGGAGGTCGGGGCAAGAGTTTGGGTACCTGTATCAATTGCAGAGACTCGAGTTTCCAAGAGATTTGATTGTATACCAAGTGGGACACTCTATCCAAATGCGGATGAGATTGAATATTTGCAAAGGCTTGTCAAGTACAAGGCATGTATTCAGTTAAATTGCTTGTTGGTATCTTTTATCAATATACCCTGTATGCTTCCTATTCTATATGTTTGTCCTTGTGTGCACATTGGTGTAAGTTGATAAGTCTCCATCTTAACTCCTATGTTAGTTTTCTTTCATAACCTTTTATTTTTCTTTTTCAGGTGTAATTTATATATAAGTAATTCCATAATTATTCTGATTTCCACTTGATGGATTATGCATGCTCTAGGTTCTGTGTTTCAGCTTGAAGTTTTATTTTCTAACAAGATGTTCCTATTTTTTACTACTGCTATTAAATGTTTCAGGACTATGCTATACTTGTATTAAATAAACCCCCCAAGCTGCCAGTAAAGGTTTGATTACATTATTTAAGGTATTTGAGTTGTTTTCTCAGCATATTGTGTTTCCTCTTATGTTGTTCTGTCACAACATCTTTAGGGAAGTATGCCTGTACATAACAGCATGGATGCATTGGCGGCTGCAGCTCTGTCTTATGATTATGATGAGGGTCCTAAACTGGTACGCTTATTTTTGTAGATTATATGGTGCATGCTTTTACCATACAAGTTTTCTGTTTGATTTTACGTAGGCATGTATCCAGGCGTTGTAGTTATAAAGTCATATTTTTATGATATAGTGATATATAGTCCAAAATATGATAAAAAAATGTTGCTTGAATGGATAACCTTGGACTTAATTGAAGATGAGCATCCTTGTTTGAGAGCAGAGTTGGCATCATGGTGAAATCTATGGGATTAATAATAGCCTGACCTCAGAGTCGATAGATTTTAATATAGTTGCAGTGTTTGTTGTTTCCTATCATCTCTGTTTGCCCACATGTAAGCACTTTTTGGTTTGATTTTATAATTCTTTCTTGAAAAGGTTCTTAACTTCTGCTTAGAGATCCATAATCATGGTATTTGAATTCTTTTTCCCCAATAAGCGAAGAAACCATATATCTCATTATTTCATGGGAGAAATTTATTTTTTCTTCTTTGGTGATAAAAACTATATCAACCTCAAAAGCTACTTTTGGGAATAGTATTAATAAAAGAACCAAATAATTTATCTCCTTTTTCCTTTCTTCATTGTCGTTATTGAAGACTCAAGTTAGTTGGATCTCCTCTTCTTTTTTTAACATGTTGAAGTTTAATTTAATTTTTTTTCATTGACGTTATACTGTTTACCTTGAGAGTAATGAATATTAAGATATTAATAATTTATTGACAGTTGATGGTGCTTCTGGTATGGCTAATTGCTGAAAAGGGAGGTATCGTGTATGTTGCATTTTTATGTACTTGGGATAATGCTTAGTGGGGTAAAGCTTATGTTGAAAGGATTGCTTGGAGTTATAAGTGGCATGTAGTTTGTAGCAGTCAATGAGTTCTGATTGAATTTTAGTTTTTTGGTAACAACTTGGATTTGATATGTTTGTTTTGATACGGTCTTTTTTTCCCTCTACAATTAACTTTAAGCATGCTGTTGGGAGGTCATGATTTTCACTTTCATATTGTTTTTGTTATTCAAGTGTTTTAATTTAGTTTTTCTTGATCCATTTTTCTATGACTTTTTCACTTCTACTGCTTTTATTGTCAACTTTGGTCAGGTGCATCGGCTTGATAGAGAAAGCAGTGGCCTCCTGTTAATGGGAAGAACTAAAGAAAGCATAAATCATCTTCATTGGCTATTCAATGACTTAAATACAGCAAAATCCTCATGTAAGGTACGTAGCCTAACTAAAGAAAACAAATTGTCAAATGCATGCTTCCTACATCCCATCGCATAGTTATTATGTCTTTTTTTTGTTAGTGTAATGGCTGCCAACTTCTATAGCATCAGGGTGTGGTTGGATTAGGCATTTGGAGGAGGAATTTCATTTCAATCAAGGTTTTCAAAAGTACAAAAATTTATTCACTTGTTTGGATAAAAATAAAAGAGAATTTCAAAATTTAGGTGGAATTTTCAAATTCCTATTGACATTCTATCTAAATAGGTGATTTTTCAAAATTCCTCCAAATCCTCTCTCTTTATTGCACATGGCACATCATAAAATGCAAAATTTTTAAAAAATAAATATAATTTTATTGAACTCTAATATATATTTTTATTTTTTTATATTATTAATAATATCTACATATTTTTACAAATCTAATGATACTCATATTGCACATTTTATTTATATATTTTTTTATTTTTTAATATCATTATTCTTCTTTTATAATTATTTTTTTATCTTATCAAATTCTAATAGATTAAATTTCTTTCTAAAAATATTTATCCAAACAAAATAATTACAAATTCAAACATTTTGAAATGATACATTTTTAAATGCCCTCATTTCAAATTTCTTCAAAAATTCAAAATTCTCCATCCAAACATACTCTTAAAAACAGCTAGTCGAACATTTCCCTTCTTTTAGTTGACAAAATATTCTGTTGGAAAATTTAGGCTTGGAATGATGCATGTGATGCTAAGTTTCAGCGGTTTTGGGCATTGGTGATAGGCACTCCAAAGGAGAATGAAGGCTTAATTTGCGCTCCTCTTTCAAGGGTTCTCTTTCGCCAATTTACTCTCTTCCTGCCTCTACCTTAACCAGCTTTTTGCTCATGTATCTGTTGTTGATTTTAGATTCTTCTTGATGATGGTAAGACTGAGAGGGTCATCTTGGCTCAGAATGTGGGTTTAGAACCTTCTCAAGAGGCTATGACTGAATATCGGGTACTAGGTCCTACAATAAATGGATGCTCGTGGATTGAATTGCGCCCACTTACTAGCAGGAAGCACCAGGTACCATAATTTAGCTCTCTATCTGAGCAACCCATCTAATCCTATTGAGTGATATATGAAGGCATTTTGTAGTTTTAGAATCCTATTGAGAAGGTGACAACTACAGTCTAGGAATAATGTGTTTACAGGTCAAGATATGACCTCTGTGCGCCAGCTCTGATTGATAAGCAAAAGGAAGGGTGTTGGGGGGGGGGGGGGGGGGGGATTCTTTAACTTTTGAAATCCAAATGGATGTGGAAAAGGCCTATAATTAATCTGTCTGTCTTCCTATGTAGAGTTTTTTTACTTTTCATATCAAGTCAATCAATTATAATTAGTCTCCTTTGTTGTGTACTATATATTTTCATCCCAAGCCACACCAAAGTTCTAGTGCTTCCATTTTCTTGCAGCTTCGTGTCCATTGTGCAGAAGCTCTTGGGACTCCTATAGTTGGTGACTACAAGTACGGCTGGTTTGTTCACCGGAAATGGAAGCAGATGCCCCGAGTTGATATTGAACCAATGACGGGAGAACCATACAAGTTACGAAGGCCAGAAGGTCTGGATGTTCAGAAGGGAAGTGTATTGTCCAAGGTTCCCTTGTTGCATCTGCATTGCAGAGAGCTTGTACTTCCAAACATTGCAAAGTTCCTTCCAGTGCTGAATAAGAAAACAGAAACCCTGCCTCCTGCGTTTAGCGCAAAGCCGGATCTCCTTCGCTTTGTAGCATCAATGCCTAAACACATGAAGATTAGTTGGAATCTGATGTCCTCCTATTTAGTGTAAATATCCAAGTTGGCACATGGTTAGTGATGGTAAAACTTATGAATTTTGATATCTGATCTTCTATTCATTAACAATATATACTTACAAATCCTTGATTTTATGTTTTGCTGCCAGTTCAATTTTGTGGAGGTCCTGATAATCTTGTGTTATAATTATGGGATTTGTTTTTATGCAATGATTGTAGTTATTTTTGTTAAAGGGTTGGGTTACTTGTCCAGATCCGAAAATCCACTTAAATTTTGAGAGAATTTAAACAAAAAAATAAAACTCGTTAAATGAACTTAGACATATTTTTAAATTTGTTTAAATTTTGGGTTAGGCTTTGTACAAAAGAATTAAAATTTGGGCTTGATCCGGTTCGAATAAAATATTATGTAAATATATATGTGAATTTTTATATTTTATTTTTAAATGATTTTTTAATATTTTTATTATATAAATTAAGTTTAATAAATGAATTAGGGAATTGGTTTCTTAATTTAGACCAGATTTGAAAAAATTTTAAAGCTTAAAATATCATTTTGGATAAATATATAAACTATTAATATTAAGCAAGAGTACAGTTTGAATCCAATTATGTTTAATTCATAAATATTTCTAATTGTAGTACAATTAAACAGTAAAATTAAAAAAAAAACTTGATTAATATGCAAATTAATATTTTATGTTTAGTTAAAAAAGAGCAAGAGTCTACTTCAATTAGTTTATATAATTATTTTTAAGAGATAAAATTTAAGTTTGAAGCTAAAATTTTAGTTTTTATAACTTATTTTCTTATTTTTAGTTACAAATTTTTATAGAAAAAACCTGAGTAAACAATAAAAATGGATATAATAAAGTAAAAATGTGAACAAATTGAATTTATTTGAATGTTATTTGATAAATTAAAAATATTCAATATTGAATTTTTAGTTTTGATTCATTAATAAGAAAATATCATTTTAAAAGACTAAGTATAGAATAAATGTTTGGTTGATTTTTTATTAAATACTTTACATTAATATGGAAAAAAATAATGTTAAAGTAATTGAATGATATAACTTTCGTTAAATTCATTAAGTAGCTTTTAACTATTTAATATTTTTTATTAAAATTTTATTTAAATGATTTTTAAAATAGATTCTCAAACATATTGAAGATATTAAATGATTAAAAATTTTTAATAATTTATCAAACTTATCAATGCCTAAACCCATTTGCTACGATTGCGTCGAGTCTCCACACAGAATGTACATTGCTCAGGTTTTCTTCTATTTTTCCATTTCGTCTCTCTAAATGTAGAAATTAAATATCATTGAAATATGGCAATTCTTGTAATGCTCCCATGATTTGATTTCAAAATTTTAACTTCTTCTTTGTGTCTTTACTGATTTAATTGGTTTTTATAAATTGCTATCATTCACTTTGTTTATTCATATACTATATCCCAACAAGAAGGTAGCAACATTTCCTCCATCATATGTCGTCCTAGAATACAATCAAATGTTTGGTTTTTCATTTTAATGTTTTTAACTTTTTCTACTGAAATATCTTTTGTTATTTGTCTGTAAACAGGGAGTTATGAAGACAATGAACGTTAACAAACTGAACTCTGTTAGGTGAAGAGTAAAAATTTGGATTACAGATTGGTTTGCACAGCTAAACAATAAAATGGTTACTGACTTGAAGAAAATCAAAATAGTCAGACAATATTTGATCGAAATCAGGTAGGCAGTCGGCAATCGGAATGGATCTAAATGGAAAGGTTGAATTCTCTGTTCTTTACCCATGCATGCAGAGTGCTAATATATTTTTCCTAAAGGTGCTTCTACTAATGAATGTTATGTTTTTTTTTTTTAATACCCTGCCTTATAATAAAGAATTTCAGCCAGATTTATACGTAAAGCTTAATGAAAGTGCAACGGACACTCGGTGTCCTGAGTTATTTCTAGTAATCACTCACCTCTATGTTAAACTTGCATAAGGACGCACTAAAATGTTTGTGTAATATTTTAATGTTTGTCAATGGCTTATCTGTTAATATTTGCAGTAGTATTTTGAGTCTCATCCTTTAATGCTTAGCATGCTATAAATTGATCCTCTTTTTGTGTGAGAAAGAAGAAAAAGAGTTTGATGGGCAATTTTTCTTGACTATTCTTTTCAGTATTGCTTTTGGCCCTTGCATTTGTTACTTCGTTTATTTCTTTTTTATATTCTTCTCTAGATCAACAAGGATGACTTGCTGAGAAACAATGTTTTTTATGGCATAAAGTCTCTATCTTGGCCCAGTTGTCAATTGCTCATTATAGATTGAAATTTCTCTCTTAAAATTTGGAAAAATATCAAAATTTGTTGTTGACACTTATCTATAGTGTGTAGGGGGAATATCTTGACATCAACCATATACAATCTTATTGGGGTATTTTCTGTGGGACATCAATGGGTATTTTTTATGATTGAGAAGTTTCTCTAGGACATCATTTGGTTTTCGTTCATTTGAGGATTTTATGAAGGATATTGTTCAGTAATTTTTTCTCAATGTTATTCTTTTATTCATGTTGTTCCCATCCTGTCAAAATCAAGAAAAGTTTCAAATTCTGATTGAAGTACCAAATGTATCATAAATGTTCTGCTACAAACCATTTTGACAGTTAGAAAGAACAATTTGCTATTCTTACTATCTTTTACAAGCTGAACCCTTGCTTGTGTACATTCTATGTTTTTTTATGTGTTGTAATGTTAATTTCAAACGTTTTTTATCAAAGAGCAATTGGAATTATGTAACGTGAATAGGCGGACATTTTATTGGGTCTGAAGTGATAAACATAACAATGCATAAGTAATATATTACAATAATTTTATAGCAATAGATAATAATCAACAAAAAAAAATTACAAAAAAAAATAAAATACACTAAAATTTACATGAAAAACCATCTAGTGTAGAAGAAAAAAATTACGGATCCCTAAAAAAATTTTTATTATCAAATAATAGATATGTAAAGTTCTCCTCTAGCTAAAACTAAAAGCTAATCAATAACTAAAGAAATAATTGGAGAAATCTCATTAAATAAATGACTCAACAAATATATTCTAGATTTGATCTTAGAAAGTTTCAAACCTAATCTCCACCATTCAGAATGTAGAACATTAAATCATGAACCTGTTGACAAAATATCAGCTCAAGCAAACCATGGATCGACTTTTCTTCAACCAACTCTCCGTTTCCCTTTTCTCTTTATCTTTTCTGACTTTTTTTCTTTCTTTTCGGTGCCACTTTCACTTTCTTTTTTTCATGCCAAAAACTACCCCACACTATTTTATTAAGTAGGGTTTTTATTTCAATTAAAACAAAAGGCTTTGGGCCTTTAATTGGTGGAAACAATAAGAATGGGGCTAAACCCTACATTACTAACAATCTTCCATTTTAGTCCTACTAGGAGAAGACTCATCACCATAGCAATCTTATTTGGAACTAACTTTGGCCAAGGAACCCATTCCTACCAAATTATTGTGGAGCTCAAGCTTTTTCCTGGAAAATGTCTTAGTCAACATATCTGTTGCATTCTTATCAGTACGAACTTTCTTCAATTGCATTTGTTGCTCCTCAATCACCAAATGAAACCAGTAGTAACTAACATCACTGTGCTTCATTTTAGCATAGTACATGGTATTCTTATTCAAATCTAAAGTACTCTAACTATTACAAAATACGACATACTTTTTTTGATTCAACCCCAATTCAAGAAGAAAACATTTTATCCAAAGTATTTCTTTACTTGCTTCAATTATTATAATATACTCAGTCTCTATAGTTGATAAGGCAACATACTTCTGTAACTTAGACTGTCAAGACACAGCTCTTTTTGCAAAAATAAATAAATATCTTGAAGTAAATTTCTTACTATCAAGATCACATGTCATGTAAGCATCAGTAAACCTTTTTAAAATTGGTTGTGTAGTTTTATAACTCAAGCACATCTTTAAGGTGCTCCTCAAATATCTAAAAATCTATTTCATAGCTCTCCAATAAACCTTCTTTGATTAGAAAGAAATCTATTCGTTGTACAAACCATAAAATACATTAAAGAACCGACTATAAAATAATAAAAAATACTAGACATAGTGAGTTGCTCTTCTTTAGTCACCGGACAAGATTTTTTACTCAAATGAAAATGGTTGGTAAGTGGACTGCTAACTGGTTTAGCATATTGCATGTTGAATCTACTAAGTATCCATTCAACATACTTTTCCTATGACAACCATAGCTTTTTAGCTCTTTTATCCTAGATAATATTCATATTGAAAATCTACTTTGCTAGACCTAAATCCTTTATGTCAAACGACTTAGACAATTATTTTTTCAACTTACGAACCATATCATCATCTTGTCTTACAATCAACATATCATCAACATATAATAAGAGAATAATGAAGTTATCATCAAAAAATTTTCTAACATACACATAAAAATCCACTACCATTTTTTTATAGCTATGGCTCACCATAAAAGAATCAAACTTTTTGTACCACTATCGTGGAGTTTGTTTCAAGCCATACAAGCTTTTCTTCAGTTTGCAAACTAAGTGCTTTTTTTCTTTTATTTCAAAACCTTTAGGTTGATCCATATAAATTTTCTCTTGTAAGTTCCTATGTAAGAATGTAATCTTGACATTAAGTTGCTCAAGTTTAAAATTAAAATTAGCTATTAATTTCAGTACCATTCGAATGGAACTCATTTTCACAACTGGAGAGAAGATCTCATCAAAATCAATATCAAGTTTCTAAAAAAAACTTTTCACCACCAATACCTCACTAGCTTGTCACCATCTTTTTTGAGCTTGAACACCAATTTATTTTTTAACGACCTTCTTTCTTTTAAAAGTTTAACAAGTCATGTATACTATTTTTTTGTAATGACTTTATTTTTTTTCTTTTATTGCTTTTAATCGATATACTCTATTGGAGTAGTTTACATATCTTAAAAGCTCTCTGACTCTCCCTCACTGGTAATTAAAATAAAATTTAAACTTGGATACCTGGTGGATGGTTGATGCTTTTTTATAGATCTCTTAAATTGAGACTCTACACTAATTGATACCGAAAGTAGTTTTTCCTACTCAACACTCTTTTATGGAAAAGATTGCTCACCCTACTCAATACTTTCTGATAAAAAAGATTACTCCCTCTACTCAAAAGTAATTGCATATGGCTCATC